TCCTTCCTTCCAATTCCTTCTCTGTGTGCCTTCTCGTCTCTTCCTTGCCTTCTCTCCTCCTCCTAGGTTCATTCACTCAAAGTTCTGTGTCTTCTCAGTCTCTCCTCAGTCTTTTCTGTCTGTGTTAATTTGCTGATTCACTGCTCGTTCCACCAAATCGCTGCCAATTCTTTTGGGGATTCCCTCCCCCCCCCACCAGAGCTTCCTTTTTCAATAAATATTTAGGACTCACACTTTTATGGCAAATCACCACTGTTGCACCTCTGGGATTTTAAATCAGGTATAATGACGCAATCTGTTAAAACTATCTTCGCTTACTTATCATCTGTAGCTTGTCATGGCCTCGGGTCTGCCATACAAATGACAGGCCCTTTCACTTCAAGTTTGAAGAGTTTCCTTTCGTAGTGGCAGGTGATTGCCTTTTACCTTGCCATCGACCAGGCTTCCCTTCTATTCTGAGCAGCTCTCCAGCTCTCTGCATCCCCAAAGAGTCCCCAAAAGTGAAAAAATCGGGGTCTAAGAATGGAGACCATTCTCTTTCCCCCTTTTCTCTGCAACATCATCACCAAAAGCTCACAGTTTCATTTTTAATAGACACTCAGAGCTTAACATAGCTTCAGGACAGCAGAGCTTAATATAGAACCACACCTAGGCTACTTCTAGTTTCAGTTTCCAAACAGTCCTCATTGGCTGACTTAATTGCTATGCCTATTCATTGGATGACCTTGTTACCATGCTCTATTCCAGTTCATGACAAAAGGGATAGCGGAGAGCCCCAAGGAGAGAATGCAGGGCTTTCTGAAAGAAACTTCTTTTCTTTCTTCTTGGCAAGTTTTTGGAAATCCTGGCTGCCTTCCCTCTTCCTCCTCCTCTTCTGCGCACCCTCCCAACCCCACAGCCGGCTCCATGGCTGCTTGCTGCTCTTGCAGCACCTGTGCAGCACACTTACACTTAGCATGCTTCACTCCATCCCCTCTTCCTCCCTTGAGCCCATTATAATACAGAGCATCAGCTGCAAGCCACCCCAGTGTATTGGGATAGAGAAAAGTAATGCATCTCCTCCAGCGGCTGAGGTACGCACAGCACCAACATGGGCCAGAAAAAAAGGCAAGTAGAGGGGCATCTCCTGGAATATGGAACAAGTTGTCACCTTTCTCTTCTCAGGGCAGGTGAGGAGTGAATGGGAGGGGAGGGTGAGGGGTGGGCCAGCCAGTGATGGGATCATCCAACGGGGAGCCACAGGAGAGGGTCCAAAGAGCCACATGCGGTTCTAGAACCACACATTACCAACCCCTGAATTAGGGAATGGCTTTGAGGGTTTTAACAGAGAAGTGGGAAGGAAAAAGACAGCCAGTGGCATTTTTGTCTAAAACATTAGACCCTGCCTGTCAAGGATAAAGAGATTTACAAGGAAGATTGGACCTTGAACATTATTGTATTGGGGCAATTGTATTATAGCTGAGGGTTGACTTAATGGATGTTCCCTTGGGGGAAGGATTCATTTGTTTATAGATGAGAAGAGAAAATAGTAGAAGGAAGAAACAGACTTTTGGTCTAGCTAGCTAGAAAGTTACCTATAAGTTGGTCTGCATGGTCTTGTGCTGACTTGGAAGCCAGGATGGCAGCAGTAGGAGGAATCAAATGTTTAATGTTATGAGAAGAAGGGAAAGTGGAAGCAATAGAAATTGGAGAATGGAAATGGGTATTGGCTGATGGAAATGGGTATTGCCAAAATCAAATATTTGGAAATACTACATCAGGGTACTCATTGGGGACTAAGATATGATGTGATTTGTTTTTGGAAGCTTATGGATGCTGTGGATTGTATACAGTAACTAAACAAATATGTGACTTGTACAGTATGTAAAAGAGGTAATTAACAAGTCCTACACATAAAGAAAAGGGGGGGCAACATTTAACGTGAGACCATTTCAATGTATTCAAATTGATTTTATTAAACTCCCTCAAGTGGGGAGACTTATTTATTGAAGATAGTGGATCACTTGACAAGGTGAGTTGAGGCTTATCCAGCCACGAGAGCCACTGCAGCAGTAATCACCAAAATTATACTGGAACAGTTAATACCTAGATATGGGATAGTAGAAGCTGTAGGCAGCAACCAAGGTACTCATTTTTCTGCAAAAGTGTTTCAATCAATCATGGAGTGTGGGAATTCAGTGGGAATGTCATGTTCCGTGGAATGCAAATTTATCTATGTGATGGATTGAATGTTTACCCTTGGCCTTGCTCAGAACTCTATCTTGCTACAAAGGGATACTGACATTTTACCTTATGAAATGCTGTTTGGATTACCACACTTGGAAATTCCACAATATGAAACTAAAGATATCTTTGTAAAGAACTGTATACTTGGCCTCTCCTCTTATCTTACTTCAGAAACTAAGGACTACTAGCTCAAATCCTACCTCCCAAATTTTCTGTCCATAAGTTCCAGCCTTGTGTTTGGGTCCTGATAAAAAGCTCTTGTGAGGAAAAAATTAGCAAAGCCTGAGACAGGTCCTGCTAATTACTGCTGACCATTGAAACAGCAGTCCGAACAAAAGACAAAGGGTGGACCCACTACAAATGTGTAAAAGGACCAGTTGATGAACTCAAAGAGTGGAAAGTGGTTCCTGGAGAAGACCAACTGAGGATAAACATTACCAAAAACTGATGTGGTCATGGTAGTATGAATGGTTTTGTTTGTAATTTCTTTTTCTCATTGCAGGAGTACCAACTTTTTTTTCCTTCCTGAGTGGTGACCTGTTATTCCATCTGAAGATCCCGAGGGAAGCTGTGGAACTTTGCACCCTACAGGATGTGTTGGTTCTGTGATTGTAATTGTATTACTGAATGTTGTTGTTAACATTGTTGTCATTGAGGACCAGTATACGCTTGTGAAGAACCTTGTGATATAGTAATAGTAGAAGACTAAGTAGATTAAATGTGTAAGAATTGGGGTATTTAACCAGATCAACCTGCCTTGGACACAGTAGTTCTAGGAGATAGTGATATCATAATCCCTGAAGGTATGGGATGTTTTGATTTAACGCAACGGTTATAATTTTCTTATGGATAACACTAATAGGGGGAGAATATAATGCAATGATTAATCTGAAAAACCATGCATTACAAACAAGGGTCTTTTCTTTGCTTAATGTAACCTTTCAGTTTGGAATTAACCTGACACAACCTTGTAATTCATTTGAAAATGCACGTAGACTGGGTGGGTTACGGATAGATATGGGTAATGAAATTCTTCACTGGCATGCTACAGATGACTTATCTTGGGTATGTGGAAAGTTTGCCTATGTTGGTATGGAGCATATGTATTGTTTTTTCCTACTGCCCACACAACAAGGTAACAGACTGGGTGTACCAATTCATGTGGAAGCAGACCACAGATCTATAATGAATGGCTTCCAAAAAGGATAATTACGCTATATAGACCAGCCATTTGAACAGAAGATGGAATGTGTAGTTATAGAACTCCTATATGTTGAATAGACTTATAAGGTTACAGGTTGTGCTTGAAATAATAACAAACGAAACTGCTATTGCTTTAACTTTAATGGCTAAATAGCAAACTCAGTTTAAAACAACTATATATCAGTATAGACTTGCTTTACACTTTTTGTCAGCAACAGAAGGAAGTGTGTGTTGAAAATTTTATCTCACAAATTGTTGTTTACAGATAAATGGTCCAAAAAATGTTATGGAGGAGATTGCTGCCAGGTGGGGAAAACTGCCCACATCCCGGTGCAGACTTGGACTGGGGCAGTTGACTTCAACTGGTTTGACAGTATCTTCTCTCACTGGAAAAGGATTGGGTTTCCAGCGTTTTTAGCCTCTGGAGAGCTCCTTCTCTTTCTGTTTCATCCCTCTGATCCAGCATATAGTTACCTCTTTCACCACTTGGATGGCAGTCTTAGCCTCCTCAGTGTCCTCTCCCCGCCCTTAGACCAGCAAAACTCGTGGTCCTTAAATGCTCTCCTAGTCCATTGATAGGAAGCATCCTGTCATAAGAAAAGGGAGGAAAATAAAAGAACATATTGATATGAATCAATCTAACCTTTGCTCTTTGCTTCTGTTAAAGAAGTTGCTTGTACTATTTTGTTAAGGTTGGGATCAATTGTTAGGAATTCATTCTGTAAGAGAATTGTGTCCTTTGTATCTGATTTCTCGCTACTGCAATTTGCTTCAGACTTAGGCTGCCTAGGAGCATGAATATACAAGGACAAGGGATACTTGTAAAATAACAAAGCATGGACAAAGAACCTCCATGGATAAGGGGAGGGAGGGCATGGGCAAGACATCGCCAACATTAAATAATGAACCTTTGTCTCTGATTGGATAAACTTTGTTTCTGTTGGCATAAAATGTATATAATACTCTGAGCCACTCTCACAGGAACTGTCTATTCCTTACATGCATTTTGTCTGTATGTTTTGAATATAGTATTCACCTAAACGTTTTGAGATAGATAGATAGATAGATAGATAGATAGATAGATAGATAGACAGACAGACAGACAGACAGACAGACAGACACACACACACACACACACACACACACACACACACACACACACACA